TACTTAGGAGGCTGAGGCAGGAGAATCACTTGAACCCGGGAGGCGGACGTTGCAGTGAGCTGAGACCGTGCCACTGCACTCCAGCCTGGGTGGGAGAGTGAGACCGTGTCTCAAAAAAAAAGAAAAATAGGCCAGGCATGGTGGCTTATGCCTGTAATCCCAGCACTTTGGGCGGCTGAGGTGGGAGAATCGCTTGAGCCCTGGAGTTTGAGATCAGCCTGGACAGCACCGCCAGCCCCCTCTCTGTTTTTTTTTCTCTCCCGTGACGGAGTCTGGCTCTGTTGCCCAGGCTGGAGTGCAGTGGCGCCATCTCAGCTCACTGCAACCTCCGCCTCCCGGGTTCAAGCGATTCTCTCAGCTTCCCGAGTACCTGGGATGACAGGTGCACGCCACCACGCCCGGCTAATTTTTGTACTGTTAGTAGAGATGGGGTTTCGCCGTGTTGGCCAGGCTGGTCTCGAACTTTTGACCTGGCGATCCACCCGCCTCGGCCTTCCAAAGGGCTGGGATTACAGGCATGAACCACCATGCCTGGCCGTTTTTTTTTTTTTTTTTTTTTTTTTTTTTTTTTTTTTTTATTTTTTGAGATGGATTCTTGTGATCGTTGCCCAGGCTGGAGTGCAGTGGCACCATCTCGGCTCAATGCGACCTCCACCTCTCGGGTATAAGTGATTCTCCTGCCTCAGCCTCCTGACTAGCTGGGATTACAGGCGCCCACCACCACCCTCAGCTGATTTTTTGTATTTTTAAATAAGGATGGGGTTTTGCCACGTTGGCCAGGCTGGTCTCGGACTCCTGACCTCAGGTGATTCACCCACCTCAACCTCCCCAAGTACTGGGATTACAGGTGTGAGCCACCACGCCTGGCCTTTTTTTAAAAATAAATAAATAAGACCGGGCGCGGTGGCTCACGCCGGTAATCCCAGCACTTTGGGAGGCCGAGGCAGGTGGATCATCTGAGGTCAGGAGTTCGAGACCAGCCTGGCCATCATGGTGAAATCCCATCTTTAAAAAGAAAAAAAAAAAAAAACTTAAAAATAAATAAATAAGTAAATAAATAAATGTATGTCTCTTGGGACCAGAGTTGGCCTAGTGCACATCCTCCACGCCCAGCTCACCACCCCTGCCCCTCGCAGCCCGGCCTGGGGCAGCCCCCAGCCCCCCCGCCCCCCCGAGGCCGCCCACCTTTGGGTCGTGGATTCCGGACAGCTCCAGGAAGGTCTTGTCCCCGACCATGACGGCGGCCAGGTTGGCCGTGTAGCTGGACAGCACCAGCAGGCAGAAGATGGCCCAGAGGTTCATGAGCAGACGGCCTGTGGGACACTTGGGCGTCTTGCTGGACACGGTGCGACCGAAGAGGATGGCGTAGCAGAGGTTGAGCGCCGAGGAGTAGGAGAAGACCGTGCTGCGGTTCCGGCCGCGTGGCGTGAGCCCGTAGGGGCTGCGCCACTCGTACAGGGTGAGGAAGAGCGCGGTCAGGTGCAGGGCGGCGAACACGCCCAGCCACATGGACCAGTGCAGCGGCCACATGAAGGCGCCGATGGGTGAGGCCGTGTCTCGCGCCCGCACCATGATGCCCAGGCTGGTGGAGAAGAAGGGGCTGGTGAAGTCCACCACCTGGGAGCGGGCGGAGTTGATGCTGAAGCTGGTGACCGCCATGTGAGCCCGGCCGGCCAGCAGGTCCCCGACCAGGCCCGTCCAGCGGCCGTCACGCAGGACGCCGTACTTGCCGTCACCCACGATGTACAGCTGGAAGTCGAAGGGCGTGTCCTCCGCCAGCCGCTCCAGCAGGTCGATGCAGTACCCGTAGCAGCACTTGCGCAGGGCACGGGGCACCGAACCGTTGGCCAGCGCGGCGAACAGTGCGTCCAGGGTGGCCGAGTCGTTGGTGCCGGGGTCCAGGCACAGCTGCCCCGCCGGGCACTGCCCGTCTTCATCGGGATCACGGGCAAACACGAATGGGTGCTCCACCAGCGTCACCACACGCAGCTTGGGCCGGGCCTGGGTGCCTGGCGGGGGTGGGGGCCTTGCCACGGCACCCCCCGGTTCCAAGTCCAGCCGGCCATCCCGCCAGCTGCCCACCGTGGCCCAGGCCGGGGCACCCTGTGAGTCCCGGCGCAGGCTCCACACCTTGAAGTGCCGAGACACGTGTACCTGGGAGTTGCCTGTCACCCACACGGGGCCCGTGCGGCCCTGGAAGGACGTGTTGGCCAGGAACCTAGGGGCAGGGCGGGGGCATCAGGTGTCCAGCTCAGACCCCTCCACCCCTCACCCCTGCCGAGCACACGCCTGATTCCCACTGGGCACCCTTTCTTCGTTTTTTTTTTTTTTTCGAGTCAGAGTTTCGCTCTTGTTACCCAGGCTGGAGTGCAATGGCGCGATCTCGGCTCACCGCAACCTCCGCCTCCTGGGTTCAGGCAATTCTCCTGCCTCAGCCTCCTGAGTAGCTGGGATTACAGGCACGCGCCACCATGCCCAGCTAATTTTTTGTATTTTTAGTAGAGACGGGGTTTCACCATGTTGACCAGGATGGTCTCGATCTCTTGACCTCGTGATCCACCCGCCTCTGCCTCCCAAAGTGCTGGGATGACAGGCGTGAGCCACCGCGCCCGGCCTCTTCCTTTTTTTTTTTTCACTCATGTTACCCAGGCTGGAGCACAGTGGCGCGATCTCGGCTCACTGCAACCTCCGCCTCCCGGGTTCAGGTGATTCTCCTGCCTCAGCCTCCTGAGTACCTGCGATTACAGGTGTGCACCACCGCGCCCGGCTGATTTTGTATTTTTAGTAGAGACCGGGTTTTGCCCTGTTGGCCAGGCTGGTCTCCAACTCCCAACCTCAGTGATCTACCCGCCTCTGCCTCCCAAAGTGCTGGGATTACAGGGATGAACCACCATAGCCGGTCACACCCTTTTCAGTATCGTGAGGACAAGTGTGAACACAAGTGGTGTCTCCAATCCTAATAAATCCCTTGACCCTGGGGCATGCATGCCCAGATGCCGTGGCTGCGCCCCCACCCCACACGGTGCCTGAAGCCAGTGGCAGTGCTCAAGTGCCCAGCGGGGCTTTCCTGTTTCCAGCAGTTGTTCATTCCCTGGAACTCACCCAGGGCTCAGCCAGAGACCCATTCCCTCCCTCCCAGTTCAGCTCCCTCACTGCTCTCCCTGGGATAGTTCCCTGGGTGGGCGCTGCTTCCAGGAACCTGAGACGTCCATCGGCAAAGCATCCTGACTTTGTGTGTTTGAGACAGGGTCTCACCTTGTCGCCCAGGCTGGAGTGCAGTGGTGCCATCTCCGCCCACTGCGGCCTGGGCCCCCGGGCTCCGGTGATTCTCCCACCTCAGCATCCTGAGTAGCTGGAACTACAGGTGTGTGCCACCGCGCCCGGCTAACTTTGTTGTATTTTTTTGGTAGAGATGGGGTTTCACCGTGTTGGCCAGGCTGGTCTCAAACTCCTGAGCTCAGGTGATCCGCTCGCCACAGCCTCCCAAAGTACTGGGATTACAGGCGTGAGCCACCATGCCGGCCTGACCGTGCCCTTCATGACCCATGGGTGGCGCCGACTCCGTGGCCTGGACACCTTCCCAAGTGAAGCAGGGTCCCCACTCACCGTGCCAAGAAGCGCCCGGGGGACTCAGGGCCGGCCGGCTGCGGGTCCTCACAGTTGACCGCGGCGGGGAGGAGGGCACGCTCCGGCTGCACCTGTGCGGCACTGCCCAGCGCCCGGGCCACCAGCTGCACGGCGTCATGGACGGCGGCCTCCAGCGGGGGTTGTACCACCTCGCCCAGCGCCAGCAGCCCCGGCGGCAGCCCCGCAGTGGGCAGGGCCTTGGGAGGCAGTGGCGTCCCCAACAGCCAGTGGGGGCCGGGAGGTACAGCCTCCAGCACCCGACGGGCGTGGGCAACATCACAGCCGAGGAGGACTGCCGCGGGTACTGCGGCTTCACCCCCCACGGGTGCCCCCATCGGGGCCAGGCGTGCCCGCAGCCCCGCGTCTCCGGCGTCCTGCCGGCTTAGGTCCAGGACCAGCTGTGGGGCGCGGCCGGCCCGGCTCGTCCAGAGGGCCACCAGCCCGCCGGGGTCCCGGGTGCGGCACAGGGCCAGGCCAACGTCCTCCCAGGCGTGCGCCTGCAGCACAGCCACCAGCACGTCCAGCAGCGTCTCCAGGGGGCTGGCCCAGTGCAGCTGCAGGTGGAATGGGTTCTGGGGGAGGGGAGGCCACAGTCAGGGTCGGTGACCTCCACCCCACGACACCCCTCCCACCCCAGCAGCCCGTGATCCGAAAGGAGATGCCAGCCGGATGGCCGCACCTCCCCTCCGCCTCCCCCCAACCCCAGCCCTGCTCTAAACCCTTCCATGGCTCCCCATCACCATCCCCACCAGGCTCAGCCTCAGCCTGTCTTCTAGGCCCTTCTCTCTTGGCTCCAGCTACCCTTGTCATGGGCTCACCGTGTGTGTGTGTGTGTGTGTGTGTGTGTGTGTGTGTGTGTGTGTGTGGTTTTTTTTTTTGCATGTGTCATTTCCCAGATTGAATACCTTTCTCCCTCTATGCCCACCAACTCCTACACACCCTTCAAAACCCAAGCACATTGCTCCTCTATTCAGACTTCTCCATCCTCCAGGCAGAACCCAGGCTCCGGCTTGGAACTTCTCCAGCCTCGGGTCCCTCCCTGATCCCTTTATATCCCAAACTCAGCTGGCCCCCACCTGCCTGGGAGCCCCTCTGGGGCCAAGGGCCGTGGCTCCCTAAAGGTGAGCCCACTGATGGCCTTGTGCTTAGAGCCAAACCAGGTAGCATCCCCTCACACATTACTGCCCCATGCCAGGCACACGGAGGGCTGAGGGGCCCCCTTGTGCCCAGTGCCATCCAGAAAGTTCCGGATTTTTTTTTTTTTTTGAGACCGTGTCTGGGTTATTGCCCAGGCTGGAGTGCAGTGGTGAGATCACAGCTCATTACAACCGCCGCCTCCCCGGCTCAAGCGAGCCTCCTACCTCAACCTCCTGAGTAGCTGGGACTCCAGGGGCCCGCCACCACGCCTGCCTAATTTTTGTATTTTTTGTAGAGATGGGGTCTCGCCATGTTGCCCAGGCTGAGCTCCCACCTCGGCCTCCCAAAGTGCTGAGATTCCAGGCGTGAGCCACTGCGCCCGGCCCTGGGTTTCACTTAGTGGATTAAAGGTGGGAGAGCTTTGCCAGGCCCCTCGGGTGGGCAAGGCGCTTCCCAGGGTGGAAGCAGGGTGCCCAGCGCTGGGGGACGGGCTCGGGCTGTGGCTCAGTCTCCAGGGGCCCAGGCCAGTGTCGGAGATGCTGGGTGGGTCCCACGCGCGGCCTGCGGCGGTGCAGTTCCTGGAGGCGGCAGCAGAGGGCGCCCCCGGCCTGGGTTTGGGCCTCGAATCTCAGCCCTAGCTAGGGTGGTGGGGGGACAGGGGTCCCCTTGACACCTGGACAGCTGGGCTAAAAGACCCCCCTCTAGCGTCAGGGTCTCCCACCCTGAGGAGGAGGAGGGGCCGGAGGGGCTTCTCCGTGGGTGGGGACGGAGGGGAGCTGGGTCCTAGAGCTCAGCCAGGCCCCCATGTCCGGAGCTGGGACCTCCTTGCCGGCCATGGGAAGGGGTCTATTCTCTGGGGCACAGCGGGCCCTGGCGGAGGGTCCCCAGCACCCAGTCAACCTCCCTTCTCTCTCTCTTTTTTTTTTTTTGGTAAAGACGGGGTTTCACCATGTTGGTCAGGCTGGTCTTGAACTCCCGACCTCAGGTGATCCGCCCGCCTTGGCCTCCAAAGTGCTTGGATCACAGGCGTGAGCCACCGCGCCCGGCCTCAACCTCCCTTCTCTTCTCATTCCGTTTCCCTGTGGGACCTGGGCCTGGGGGTAGGATTAGAGGAGAGGAACCTGAAGGCTGCGGCGGGGTGGGGGGAATGGGGTGGGGGCCGGAGGGACCCGGCTGCTCTGGGATCTTGAGGGCCTCTGGGAGGGGACGGGGAGAATGCTGAAAGGAGGGGGACCCAGACCTGCAGACCCCGAAACTGCACCCCGAGAGTGCTAAGCACTCCAGCGGCCTGGAGTCCCGTGGGGACCCGGTGGTCCCGGGGACCAGGGAAGGGTCTGTGGGCACGCAGTAGGCAGACGCGGGGTCTCCATCACCAGGGCGCTGGGAAGGGGCGTTCCAGGGGCGTCTCTCGCGCTCTCAAGCCAGCGTCTAGGTCCCTGTCCCTGGGTCTCTGCCTCTGCGTTCCGGCTCCCTGGCTCGGGGGACACCCAGGTCTTCCCCATCCCCGAGCCCCGGGGCCGTCCAGGGTCCCGGCACCCCCACCCCGCTCCGGGCGCCCCTGGGACTCCCGCCCCCGCCCCGGGCGCCCCTGGTCCCTGCTCCCGGCGTCCCGCGTACCGGGGCTCCGAGGACCGCGCGCGCCTCCCGCCGCAGCACGCTGAGCACCGGGGTCTCGGTGGCGGCCGCCAGGAAGTGGAGCTGCAGCAGTTCGGGTCGCGCCTCGGGAAAGGCCAGCAGGGCCGCCACGCCCGGAGCAGCCAGCGCCTGGCACAGGCCGCGGGCCAGCGAGGCGGGGTCGCGGGCGCGGGGCGCGGCGACCACCAGCTCCACGCTCAGGTTGTGCGGCAGCTGCGGCGCCAGGGCGGCCCGGGCCAGGGCGGCGCGGGCGCGGGCGCGGGCGAGGGGCGCGCGGGGCAGGAGGGCGCCCAGGCGCACGGAGCCCCCCAGGCGCGCCAGGACGCCGCACGGCTGCGGGTGGCCCCCCGCGGGCCCCGGCCCGGGCCCCAGCGCCAGCGCCAGGCCCAGCCACAGCGCCCGCACAAACTCCATCGCAAAGTTGCCGGCGCCGCGGGCCGCGGGTGGGCGGGAGACCCGGATCCGACGCTCCCTCCGCTCCCCGCCGGGGCCGCCGTCTGCGTCCGCCCGCGCCGCCCGGGGGTTCCCGAGAGCCAGCAGCCGCGCGGGGGGGCGGGACGCGCACTGGCCGCGGGGGAAACGGCCTCCCAGCGGCTGCTCGCGGACGGCGGCGGTGGCACCCGGCGGGGGCTGGGGACTCCCAACCACTGCCCATCCCCGCCCCGATTCAGGCCACAGACCGAGGGCGGGTGCCGGGAAAGGACCCCGCGCTTTAAAATTGGCCCCGACGCCCACCGCGTTCCTCCCCAGGATTCCTGACCCCCTCCACGAACGTCGAGCACTGCTCAGGCGGGGAAGTTGAGGCTCAGGTGGAGTCATGCTTGCCGCGCACTTCCAGGGAGAGGTCAGTTTCTTTCTTTCTTTCTTTTTTTAAAGACGGGGTTTCACCATGTTGGTCAGGCTGGTCTTGAACTCCCGACCTCAGGTGATTCGCCCGCCTTTGGCCTCCAGAGTGCTTGGATTACAGGCGTGAGCCACCGCGCCCGGCCAGGGAGAGGTCAGTTTCTAACCAGTCCCGCCCAGGGGTGGGCTCTCACATCCAGTGCACCCTGGGGAAACTGAGGCAGGCATGTCAGATGGGAACCTGTAGAGTTGATCTGCCCCCAGCAGTGGGCAGGCAACTTGGGCTGCAGAACTCCGCTTCAACCCTCAAAGCCCCGTGCCAAATGCCCTGCCCTGAGAAACGTTCCCTGCTTGCCACTGAGAAGATGCCGGAAGCACCACTCCCCACGCCCCGGCCCTCACAGGTTTCCGTAACAGGCCACCGTCTTTTTGTTCATTCCCTTCTTATTTAGTGACCGTCTCTTCCACTCAGCCCGGGGGGGGCTGGCTTGCTGCTCTGTCTCCAGGCTTGCACACAGTAGGCACCTGCCCAGACAAGGACACTTGCTCACATTCCCCTCCTCCAGTGCTCCAGAACCTTCCATAGCGCCCCGCTGTCTACCTGTCCCCAAGCTTGCCTGTGTCCTCTAAGCCTTGGTTTGGGGGGGCCTTCTGGGGCCCTGGCATCCCGCAGGCGCCTGATAGACGGGGACCGGCCGCATCCATCCAGCAGTGGACCTCCTCCCTGCCGGGGCAGTCCTCCTCCCGTCCTCCCGCGGGTGTCCGGCGTCTCCCCAGATCCCCACGGGCAGCAGAGCGGCCGCTGTGCTGGGAACATTCAGCTCTAACGAATGGATCCACACTCCAGTGATTTTTCTTCGCACACACACAGCAAACCCCATCTCCTTTTGGAGGCAACGCTGAGGAAGGAGGAAAAGATCCTCCATGCCGTGAAGAAAATGCCAAGTGCCAGCCGGGACAACGGATTGGATTTTGAGACGACTGGGGAGGGAGGGCTGGGGGCTCAGTTCCAGGAACCCGCAGGCCACCCCCTCCAGCCACCTGATGAGGTGTCCTGGAAGCAGGACAAGGGGTCCTCTCCCTAGATCTTCGGGAGGTGCTGGGTCCTGGCGTCCTCAGGGACCACTGGGGCCCCGTCCCTCCCTCGGGTCCGTTCCCTTTAAGGAGCAAGAATTCTTAGGAGCAGAGACAGTGTCCACCCTCCTGGAACTCACCTTCGTACCCTGCCTCAGTTTCCCCATCTGTAAAAGGGTGACAGTGGACATTCCTACTTCCCGCTGCCATGTGAACAAGTGGACGCACGGAGGGTGTTTTTTAAACATTTTTTATGACCGGGCAAGGTGCCTCACATCTGTAACCCCAGTACTTTGGGAGGCCGAGGTGGGTGGATCACGAGGTCAGGAGCTCGAGACCAGCCTGGCCAACATGGTGAAACCCCGTCTCTACCAAAAACACAAAAATTAGCCAGGCGTGGTGGCGTGTGCCTGTAATCCCAGCTACTCGGGAGGCTGAGGCGGGAGAATCGCTTCAACCCGGGAGGTGGAGGCTTCAGTGAGCCGAGATCACGCCACTGCACTCCAGCCTGGGCAACAAGGGCAAAAAAAAAAAAAACGGCAAATTTCATGTTATGACTATTTTACCACAATATAAAAAAATTTTTTTTGAGACGAGTTTCAGTCTCGTTGCCCACGCTGGAGTGCGGTGGCGCCATCTCACTCACGAAACCTCCGCCTCCCGGGTTCAAGCGATTCTCCTGCCTCAGCCTCCCGGGTAGCGGGGTTACAGGCATGCGCCACCATGCCCGGCCGATTTGTATCTTCAGTGGAGACGGGGTTTCCCCATGTTGAAATTTGCAGTCTGAACCATTTCTAGGTGCACAGCTCAGCGGCATGAAGCTCACTTAATGCTGTGCAGCCCTCACCACGGTCCTCTCTAGAACTTTCTCATCTTCCCAAACTGAAACTCTGTCCCCAAGGAACACTCCCTTCCTGTCCTCTCCCCAGCCCTGACGCCTCCCATCCGACCTTCCGTCCCTGTGAATCTGGTGACTCTGGGGACCTCCTATGCGTGGAATCAGACAGGACTTGTCCTTTTATGTCTGGTGTCTCTCACGGAGCGTGACGTCCTCAAGGTGCATCCACGCTGTGGCCTGTGTCCGAGCCTTTTTTTTTTTTTTTTTTTTTTTAAACTGCGTCTCAATCTGTTACCCAGGCTGGAGTGCAGTGGCGAGATCATAGCTCACTGCAGCCTCAACCGTCTGGGCTCAGGAGATCCTCCTGCCTCGACTTCCCAAGTAGCCGGGACCACGGGCACACACCACAGCTAACTAAAATTCGTAGCTTTTGTAAAGACTGGGTCTGGCAGAGATGTTGCCCAGGCTGGTCTCAAACTCCTGTGCTCAAGTGATTATCCTGCCTCAGCTTCCCACAGAACTGGGATTACTGGGTCAGGCACTGCACAGGCCTTCCGATTCCTTTTCAAGGCTGAATAATATTCCACTGTGCAGAGGACCATGTTGTCCTGGCCCATCCATCTACTGATGGACGCCTGTCTCCCCCCACTTTTTTTTTATTACCCCTTTTTTTGGCTGTGGGGATGGAGCTGCTGTGAGCTCCGTGTGTGGATCGCTTCAAGATCCTGCTCTTCACTGTCTTGGGCATGCACCCAGAAGTGTAGACTCGCTGGGTCCAACCTTAATGCAATTTTTTTTTTTTTTTGGCGGTCTCAAAATGCCCGGCCTGAGACCAGACTGGCCAACATGGCGAAACCCCATCTCTACTAAACATACAAAACTTAGCCGGGTGTGGTGGCAGGTGCCTATAATCCCAGCTACCTGGGAGGCTAAGGCAGGAGAATCGCTTGAACCTAGGGGGATGGAGGTTGCAGTGAGCTGAGATCACACCACGGCACACTCCAGCCTGGGAGAAAGAGTGAGACACTGTCTCAAAAAAAAAAAAAAAAAGAACCTGCCAGGCTATTTGACTATTTTCACAGTGGATGCCCCATTTCACGTCCGCACCAGGGCTCGGGAGGGCTGTGGCTTCTCTGCCTCCTCGCCCACCATGTTTTCTGCTCCCCGGGTTTGCTGGCAGATGCCCCCACCACGCACAGGGGCCCCCTGCTGTGGTCTGGAGTCGAGCCCCACCGCCTCCAGGTCACCTGTGCACACCAGCGTCCCCTCTCGTCACCCACGCCTCAGAATCCGTGGGGCCTCCCAGGGGGACTGAGCGACTCCCTTGCACCAGCCCGTCAGTTCCAACACAGGAAGGAACCGAGGCCCATGTGCTTAAAGGCCCCAGTGTGATGAGGGCGCGGGAGACGGGGTAAAGAGGCACCCAGGGGACTGGTGTCCGAGGACCCGCTGTGCAGGGTACATGGTGGGAGACGCCAAGCCTGAGGCATGAGCTCCTGCCTCCCCCCACTCCCACCTCCCGGAGGCTCCTGGCAGGCCCACCGGGAACATCCCCTTTCTACAGACAAGAACTTCAAGTCCGAGCCAGGTGCCGGCTGTCTGAGGCCACCGGGCAATTTTAGGTCCCGAGGTGGGTGGGGCAGCCGGGCCCTGCCCTGTGGTGCTCTCATCTGCCCGCTGTCTGCAGCCCACAGAGGGGGTAGCTGGCCTCAACCCCAATGTCCCTGTGGATGCAGGCAGCTGTGCAGTGGCCTGTATGTTAATGCCCAGCTTGATTTGGGTTCTCTGAGCGGCTGTGGCCGCGTCCGGCCCTCGGGCAGCCATACTTCTATGGCTGCGCACACACCCTCACCCCAGCCCTGGCACCAGCCACAAGGTTGTATAGACACCCTGGTTATTCTCAGGACCCCCAGCGGCCACCTCAAGTTGGTGGCTGGGGGTCCTGAGTGGTGCTGGGTGGGGGCAGGGGCCATGGGAGAGGACCCAGGGGAACAGTGCCATCCCAGAGAACAGCCAACCCTCAGCTGCCTCACCCCAAATCTGTGCGCTCCCTGCAGGCAGGACCACGCCTTGCAGGGTGGGCGCCCAGGAGGCACAGGACCCTTGAGGGGCTCTCAGGGCTCTGAGCAGCCGGGTGGATGCTGGTGCCGGCTGACCGCCCAGCCTCCCTGACGCAGCGTGTCCAGGCCGCCAGCCGAGAGGGCTCAGAGCCCTGTAGAGGGGACAAGGACACAAATTAGCCTAAAAGCATGAACTCAGCGTTGGCGGCCGACTCAAAGCTGAAGTCATTACTACGCCCGCTAAATCACACGGATTTTCTGGATCGTTAGGCAGGACTGGCAGTTGGGGGCAGCTTTCTGGAAGATTCAGGCTGTCTGTGCTGAGCTCCGGGTGCTGGCACTCAGTATCCCCAGGGTGGCGGGGCCCAGTCCCCCTCAAGCCCTTGATACCCGCAAGCACAGCCCATGGTGTGTTTGTGTGGGGGGGCAACTCCCTCTCCAGATCTGCTCAGAAGGGGACACCACCCCCAGACCTGCCCCCGACCCACTGGAGGGTCCCAACCTGCAGTGGCCATATTTGCTGGATGGACAAGGTACCCCAGACTGAGGAGGCCAGGGCACCTTTTGCTCAGAAAACCGCCCTGGGGTGCGGTTTGGGCAGCTCCGGCCGGGCCCTGGGGAAGCCAGCAGAGACCTCAAGGCACGGGTGGGACACCCTGGGCGGAGCCAGTGCTCCGAGGCCTTGCCCACACCAGCTCCCTCCTCCCACCGTCCCGAGCGCCGGGTTCCCAGGAGGACCAGGGACCCTGAAAGCCTCCCGGAGAGCTGGGCGCTGTACTCCAGGAAACCCCTCAACCCTGGCAGTCGGGTCCACCCCTAACGTCCCCAGGCCCGTCCGTCCACACCAGCCACCTCCCTCCAAGCAAAGGCCCTGGGGTGACGGACCAGTCTGAGACCCGCAGCTGCTCTGGACCCATCTCAAAGCCGCGCCTCCGATGCCCAGCTTGGCCGAGGCCTCCGCCCCCCACCGAGGGTGCCGAGTGGACCTGGGGTCTGGGCTGGGCCCAGGGCAGAGCGGAGCTGTGCCCAGCACCCGGCCACACTCGGACACGAGGAGGCTGGAAAGCAGCTTTCCATTTTTTTTTGTGAAAAACAGACTAACACCAACGTGACGTGTCCCGCAAGACGCCAAAACGGCCCAGTGATGGGGACGCAGAACCGGGGAGAGTCCGGGCCGCGTGGGGTCTCCGGGCTTCACTTGGCCGGCCGCGTGATGAAGCGCGTGGAGAAGTCGAACAGGTCCCGGTTGATCTTGCGCAAGTTGCGCACCTCGTCCTCCAGCTCCGTCACGCGGACGCGCAGCTGGTCCTGGCCGCCGAGCACACTCTGTGGGAGGAGTGGGGGTCAGAGGGCAGAGGTGGCCTGGGGTGCGCTCACCCCACCGGGCAGGGCTGACCTCGGCCTCGGGCCCCCGCCCTCCGGAGACCCCGCCCTCCGGAGACCCCGCCCTCCGGAGACCCCGCCCTCCGGAGACCCCGCCCTCCGGAGACCCCGCCCTCCGGAGACCCCGCCCTCCGGAGACCCCGCCCTCCGGAGACCCCGCCC